AAAGAGAAGAAATTAAATTTGCATGCGCTTCTTGAAAGTTTCACGCGCGAATTCGTAGATAATAAATGCCCGAAATGCGCCGAATTAATTAAAATTATATTCCCACAAAAAGGGCCTTAACGCATTTGGCAGAAGTTTCCCCAGCGGGCGGGTGGATGGGCGGGGTAACAGCAGTGTGTATGTTTAAATTAGCTGGAGCACGAGACCGCGAGCAGGCGAGTTTTCGGCGCTTTTCTTACACGCGCCGCGCCATCCGGGCGCATAATTGCTCAACAATTACATAATGATTTTTGATTGGCGAATAATCCCGACGGGCGCGGCATTTCGCTTCGTTTGCCCGCGCACATTGCATTATGGCGAGTTAACGAGCAACAATGCGAACAATCCGCAACCTCGCTGCTCTCATGATTTCGCCTCGAAAAACTTCCACCGGGGAATTCGCCTCAAATCTTTCCAAATTCAAAAAGTAACCATTACGAACGCCGCGCAGCATTCAGCGCTCCCCGGAGACGACAAACTTGTATTTGTGTTTTATCTAAGTGCCCTCGAGATTACCGCCCTGTGTGTGTGATTTTTCTTCTTCTATAGGCTCACACAATAATGACGAGCGTTTATCTAGTTTTTAGCTAATATAGGTGACCTAAAAACGTCTGCATCGCGGAGGACACCAGCTCGCGAAGAGATCGAATCAGGTAGCATTGAGTGTTCGAGTGCCGCGGACGCGATAACATGCGCATTTCGCATTCGCCGGCTTTTCGGAAGACACCTGTCGATATCTGCGCCAGATCTTTCTCGCCGACGCAAATTTGAGGCCAACGCCGGAGCGAACTCTCAACCCCCGCGCGTTGCTGATACGCCTGAAATATTTCCACGAGTGATTTTATTCCGATCACGGAATGCGAACAGCGCTGATATTTCTATTTTTAATGTACAAACATGTCAAGCGTATAACTGACGCTGAAATTGAACTGCATTTCGAATTATGCACGTCTATTTACGTATTTAATACGCATCAATAATTCTCACTGGCGTGGGTGCTCAATGGTAAAGGCGCAATTAAAATTTAAGTTCTTAAATCAGCAGCCGGCGTAAACTTGTAAATTATGTGGCATGGTGGAGAGCTAGAAACGTAGGAAATTTTTGACGCGGCGTCATTACTTTGCGCGCTATCTTGATATCTTCGCGCGCTGCGAAGCGAAGTGAAAAAGTGAAAGAAAAAGCATGTTTCAAGTATGTATAACGTTGCTGACGTCGCATTTCTTTTCCCTCCGCATCGCATTTTCTTCGTTCGTACGTCGACAGCGGGCGCTCCTCCAATGTGCACCCTTCACAGCCTTCGCACCACATAGCGCATGTTGCAGGAAACGAGTGTAATGAATAAGCCAGGCTTGCACGCGACGCCGAAAAAAAAAACACCGAGTAGAAAAGAAAGAACGTTTTACCACTGGCTGGCCGGTGGCGCAAATCGCCTTCGGGCGTTTAATATTTAAAATATCCGCGCGATAAATTTCGTTAACTTTTTTTGCTGTAATAGTTTTCCGTGCGGCTAGCTGTCGACAACATACTGTAGGCGGGCGGGTTTTTGCCATCGGCGTTGGATAAATGCGACGTTACAGCCTAACACAAGGGGGGATTCAACACGTCTACTTTTTGCCCAACTTTTTGACATTTATAGTTGCACTGCCAGATTACATTTCACTTAAACGCCGGCGCGTTTGCCGCCCGGCCGGGCACCTTCCGCCACCCGCGGCCATCTTTCGCCGCCCGGGCTGTCGTAATGCGTGCGCGGCGGTGGATCAAGGGTAGCTAATGCCACACCGGCGGCAGAGTGACTAATACATGTAAACTGCGCCACCTTTCGCACAACATTCTCGGCAAAAATCTCGCATTCATCTTTCCAGCGAATATTCGTGCTCAATTATTCGCGCAAGTTGAGGGAATTTCTAAGAATCAATTTGTCGCCGCAAATGCATATCTCTCTCCTCGCGAGAAGTTAAAAGTTTTTGATCGAGGAGCACTCGCGTGCTCGCAGGAGCACATGAAGAATCTCTTTGTTACCTAGCAACAAAGAGATGCTCTTGCGTTGAAACGTATAATGTTCGTACGAATTTATAGCGCGCGCGAGCGCGGCTTTATGTTTTATTAGTTTTTGCCATAGTTTGCCGCATTTTTCATCACACAATATCGTTCCGGGCCGGCGGAAACTTTCCGCCCGAAAGATCACGCCGTGTGTGTTTTAGGTATTTATTGTTTAGTCGTGTTCGCATTGCGGAAAATACCCGATAAGGAGAGCGAGAGTTTCTTCCTCGACTTCGATTCGTATCGGCCCGAACAATTCCTACCAACTTAAAGTCCAGTTTCTGCCAGACCGGAGGTACGTGTGGCATACATGACGTACAACACAAGAAAGCGCGCGCCCGGAAAGAAACTATCGGTGTGTGTTGTTCGACGAGTGCGAGAACTGCGCCAAGTATTTCCTCGGCGGTGAATCTTTTTCATTTCGTTTCGTTCGACTACTTTCCGTTTAGGTTTCGCCACCCCCGGCCGGGCGGGCGTACGTGCGCGTCCGTCTAGTTCGTAGGTTGTTAGTCGTAAAAGATACTAAGTTACGGTTAAGTTAAAAGGACATCGAAAGAGCTTGTCTCGAAAGATAACGAGTTACTGAAAGAGTTACGGACGTCCGTGGAGGCCGAAGTGTTAGGCTGGTAATTTTCCTTGTTGGACAACCAACGAACGTGGGCAAAAATATTTCGCTCTTCAAGAGTATTTGCATTTCAAATGAGTTTTTTGCGGTGGGCACGCGCCGAGATGCGGAGTCAACAATAAGAAAACAAGATACACATCTCAAGCGACAAATTGTTTCGACGCCGATTTTAATTTCAACTTTTCCGACGTTTAAATTGATTTTCGATTAGAAAACGTCGGCGCATTCGTCTTAATCTTAAATCATTCAGTGGCCTAATCGATTCCTAATTGGAGATTTGCCCAAATCTTGCGCCAAGTTTCGATTAAATCAAGAAAATCCAGCGCCGCCATGAAATATGCGATTGCAGGTTCTCATTTTAAATAAGCTCCAAGCCTGGCATATAACACATAATCCTCGACTTGTAAAACTGAAGCAGAGCGAGCATCGAAGAAGCTGATTTGTCACAAGAACTTTAACTCAGATAAATTGCGAACAGTTGAAAATTGCGCGAACGCCGGGAATATGCGAGCGCCGTAAGTAACTTCGGCGTGCATTTGAATACGTCCTCAAAAATTTTCACGAATAATAACGCGAGCGGCGGTGGAAATTTGCGATGCAAAAAATGTCGACGAATCTTTTCGCGCGTATAAATTTCATCCATTCTTCTGGCAACGACATGCGTATCAAAACGTGCGCGCATCCGCCGCCGCCGCCGCCGAAAACCAGTTACGTATACGTACGTATATTACGGTGCCCGGCTATGCGTATAAGCGCATAACGAACGCGCGGGCGCGAAGAACGAAAAGAATAAGTCTCCTCGTCGTCCTTGAGCAGCAGCACTGGTGGCGCTGGAGGTCCATGGTGGAATGGGCGTCGTTGTGATGTTTTCGCCGTCCTGAATATTTCGACTGCAACCTGGCATTTCGCATTCCTCGCGCGAGAATTCCGCCGCCACATTTTCGCTTCCAGCATCTTTATCGCATCACGCTCAGGAAATTCTTCACCGAAAAACGCGCGCGCCAGCTTTTTCCGCGATGCCGAGTTTAATGAACACGACAGAACAAATCCGACGATCATGTCAGTGTCGTCAGTGTTTCATTAAACAGACAAACTGGAAAAAAGCGCGCGACGCGCCGGTAACGAGCCAAAGAGATTTTAACGAATCCGGACGAGATTCTGATAGAAATTTTACGACGCACGTGTACTCGTTAATAGCACACGCCGGTAATAGCTCATCGACGCCGAGTTCATAAATTCATTTCATATGTGTTTGCGTTTTATAGTAAACAATAAACATTTATGAACTATAAATTCATTTTATGTTTATAGTTTTATCAGTGTTGTGTTGTGTTTTTTTATTCTTCTTCTTCTACTGCTGCGCTGTGTTGTCATTTTATTTTTCTGCCGCGTTGCGCTGGATAAGATCACGAGGACTGATATTAAATATTCGCGCATTTATTAGTTGCGCGTAGTTAGTGTCACGACCGGAATGAGAGTCTGATCTTTCGCGGTTGCTGCGAGCGCGCTGGCTGCGCGGCCGCAGGAAACTGGGGAGAAAATGAGAAAATACGAAAACAACTTCTGCGTCCGGCATCTCTTGTCAACGACACATTCCATTACAATGGAAGGAACAAACTTATGATACAAGTATTTACTTCTATGCGGCAACATTTGCGCAGTTAAACACAATTAGGTAACAGTTTAGTTTCGAAACAAAAAAAAAACCTTTTCGGAATTAAATATCTGCAACCACGAACCCTTCATCAGGCGGGCAGCTTTCCGGGATCAAATCTAATCTAAACTGGAAGGAATTGCGCAGATATCCTCCACCCTCGCGCCGGTACACATTTTCCCGATCCACCATAGATAAGATAGTAAGTGCTTGGCTGCTTTATGGAGAGTACAATTGATTTTCTGCATTTCTTTCTTTCCTCACCGTTAACTCACTCGGGTAAAGCGAGTTTTTGTTACGGTTACGGCATGGACGACGAGCTAATTTACCTTTTCGAAAACTGTCCACTTTTCCGCCACTTTTGCGCCGCTGGTCCTCTCGTTAGGAAGGAAGCAAGGTGGCGCGCCGCCGTCGGCATCGGTCGGCCGAGCAGCTGAAAGTGCGCCGGCAGCGCGGCGGTGGCGGCTGCAGAGGCGGCGGCAGCAACGGGCGCCTCGCACGCATGACGCGAGCGCCCGCCGTCGCGCCGGCACCCGACATGATAACCGCCAGAGTCCATGCAAAATCGCGCCGAGTGCGACGAAGACGGATGCGCGCCGCCCCCGGATCGCGCTTCGACGTTTTCAGTTGATCCGAAGCCGTGACGGCGTGCATGTTACACTTGCCACTTCAGTGTAAGTGACGATACGCGGCCGAGAGCGCGCGGATTTCGCCACCGCGCTTCGCCAAATTCGACCACCACCACCACCACCAGTAAAAAACCGACGACGAATTCAATCGGAAGTTAACTGAATGTCTATCAAAATGCAAACGAAGCCAAAAACGCCAATGTGAATCATCTTACCGCGTGTTTAAAACTCAACTTTTTCCCCAGTGCTCTCTCTCAACCCTTTAAATTGAAAACTTCACCGCGAAACTGCGCTAAACTGCAATTTTAATTTAGTTTCGTGTCGCTTGAATGCTTGTGCAGTGTGTTCCGCCTGGTTTACTCCCGCTTTGGTGGGCCTGAACGCCGCCGCACGGCGACGGAACTAATAAAAGTGCATCGTTAAAACACAAGCCGCAAAATATAGTTGCGCTTAAAGTTTTTTAATTAAAACGTGTAAGTATGCAGCCGTTGTGTAATTGTTGCTTTTGTGGTGCGGTTGTCACATTGATTGGACTGCTCGTTTGTCGGCGAATCATTTTTGAAGTTGCGCTTTCATTAGTGGCGGGCGCGCTCGGTGCGACGATTGCCGCCGGAAAGTGGTGCGCAACCAACAAGTTAACTTCCGCGCGCGCGGGCGGCGAAACGCGTTTATTCATGTGGAATGCAGGCAAAATAGCGCAAATATCAATGCCAATATTGCAATTTGGCATTGTTTCAATTCTCGCCAATATTTCCCACTAAAACGCGAATAACACAAACGTTTCGCATACTTTCTGCAATAAATTCACTCAACTGACACAGTTTTTCATTGATTACTCCTAAACCAATTAACTTAAAACCATGATTTATTCACCAATCGATTAAATATTTAATTCTCAATCTAATTATGTTAATATTTCATTGGTAACTAATTGAACAAAAAAGTTGCGGGCATATTTTAATCAACTTTGCAAGTTTTTTCATAAGTCAACTTTAATTGGCTATAACTTCTTACAAAATACTTCGTTTAACGAAACTTTTCTCATTTAGATACAGAATTAAACACAGAATACACTCCTGAAAGAATTCTACGAATCGCGCAAGTAGTTTTTGAGTTATTCATGAATAACTAAAACATTTCTCGCGATATATAATAGAACAGTGATTATTAGTTCGATAATTGTAGTTAATAGTTAATAACTTTTAAAGCAATTAACCTATATTAATAATTTATGATGAAATATATTCCGTATTAAATTCTGGACGTAACTTTGTAAGGATTTAATTGAAACGGCCACATATCAAAAGTTGCAGACAAATTTACGTCGATTTAAAGAGTTTCCATAAACTCCACTTTAATTGTTGATAACTTTCAATGCATTTAATTAACCAAACAAACTTTTATCAAGTTAAATGTGAAATTTAATACAGATTATTTTTATCATCATAAATGAAACTTGCGCTGTTTTCAATTAAAATTATTAATTAAAAACTATAACGTATTATTCACACGTCAAGTTAAATATTCCATACAACTCATAGGAAAATGAGTAGTTTTGACTGGAAGCCCGCGTTCTTTGTTGTCTTTACATTCCATAATAACAAGTCTCCTATGACAATATAACGAGCCAACATCGCCGACGCTAAAAACCCCCAAGACACAATATTTGTTCTTCATCATGAAGCGAATATAATGTTTGTATTTCTATTATTGTGTTTGCCTTTTATTCCATCTTATCTCATCGTAAATATTTAAGTTTCTCGTCGAATGCGCGACGAATTCCGTGAATTAAAACAAAACCCCGGCGAGTGGCGAATTTTTGTTTTGTTTCTGCTTTATTTTAATGCTGGCGAAACTCTTGTAACGAGTTTCCGTTGCGCACAAGAATGGTGGCACTCGTCCGCAGTCAGAAAAGTTTACAAGATAAAAATTAGTAAGTATTTTCACTCGAGGCCAATTTCGCGAAACTCGGATTACCAGCTCGGCGCATTTGTCCATTTTATTGTCCTGGCAACAATAGTCGTGGATACTACTCGTAATAACTCCATCATCAACATCAACGTTTTCCTAGCCTCGGGGTTTTCTTCCACTCGAAAATACGTTGGGAAGCAGACGCCGATAAAACGAAACGATCGAGCGAAAATAAGACTCAAACGCCGACTATTTATATTCGTCACTGTCCTAATCAACAGTTTGCTCCTTGACGTTTCCTTTCTATTAGAGAACCCGGCGTGCGCGCCTCTCAGCAAAACGGCCCGCTGCGTTCGAGTAAAGTAAAGTTCACTTTGTAGTTTGAACGTGTTTATCACATTAAATATCAAGCCGCGCACTTTTATCTTCCAGTCGTTTTCAACTGCCACACTTTCTGAGATTCTCAATGAACAGTAATAAGGACGCAGAGGGAAAAATCATAACCGAAACAAGGAAATGCTCTTCCTTTCGCGGCGCAAAACTAACAAGCGCTAGTTGTATTCATCATTCATCTTAATCAAACCAGCATCAGATCGCGTCGCGGCTTCTTATTTTCCGCGCAGTAAAACAAAGCAGATGCAGCACTGCTCGGATGTTTACTCCGGCATCCTGCATCCTGCGTTTTCCGCGCACCGAAGCATATTAGATAACTCAAAACGCGCGCTCGTGGAATGTAAAACGTTATTCGCGTATTCCCCTCGGAGGGCAACTGGAATGCCTGAACGCTCGCCCGTAATTAATACAATAACGAATGCATGCGATTTTCATGCTTGACCTTTCGCATTACGTATTAATCTAAATTTTTCACGTGAATTATTTATGGCCCGCTCGAGCATGCGATTGACATCCCACTCGGCGCTTTGTTCAGCAGGGCGGGGAAGGAGAGGGAATAATTTGCGCCCATGCTGTGATTAGGTTTTTCTTTTCGCAGCATGATTGAAATATGAATGAGTTTAATTATGTAGCCGGCGCATATAAATAAAAAAATCGATGGCGATTGTAGAAATAAAAGCACGAATCATATTTATAGAGCCCTTCGGGGGTGGACGCGCGCGTCGAATAGCAATCATTAAAAGCAACAAATACAAACACTGGTAATGGAACATCCAGACTACTCAAATACCAATTAAATCGCGCTTTATTTCATGTACGCGTATGTTTTGTATATCGTAACATTGTTAATGGTATTGTTATTGAAAATTAATTAAAGAAGGCAACTCGCATTTTAAATGATAACGAGCAAAAAAAACAAAACGAAAAAAAAATGACGGATAATTATAATCCAACAAGTACAAAAATAGAAAAGTCGAGTTCCGTCCGCCCACGCAAAACTCCACATTTAGGACATAGTTGTGCAATTTTATCATGACCAGTTGGAAACATTTCCGCTCCCGGGCGCGGGCCAAGGCACCGCGATCTAAAAATATTCGGTTGAAGGGATCTCTCCTAGGTATACGCGCACATACATGTTAATGAGTTTATATCCGACCTCCTCCAGCGGGGCGGCAACGTCGGCGGCAAGTAGGGCGCGCACAACTCATGACAAAGGTTCGAGACTTGAGTGACAGGTTCATGCAGCCTCAGACATGGTGCGGCGGCGGTGGTTTTGTATATTTTTTTTTTCTGCTGCGAAAACTCGCGTTTCCTGATTAACTCAATGTTTCCTTAAATTCGCGTAATTAGAAAATGCGCGGTGGTTTATTTCGGGATTATTGACACTCGCCGCGCAAGCAGAAACCCAAAACCTAAACCAGCGGATGAATTATTAACCATGTGAGAGATGAAAGAAATATTTCATTTATTTTCGCATTACTCTCGCGCTCACCAGACATGAAATATGAACATTAAAGAGTAGAACGGGAGGAAATTCGGCGATAGTTTGGCCCAGCATGCGCAAATAAATAATTCACGGTGTTCACGTGCAAGTGTACGCCTAATGTAATTAAAGATGAGAATTTCCAGAGCAGGCAGAGCAGAAATAAAACGCTGTTGAAATACTCCGGAGCGGATTGACCGCCGCGCGTGGATGGAAAATCAATGCGTTGAACAGTTAATTAAAATTGAACGCTAAGTGCGAATGTTAATAAAGTATCAGGTTCGGTTAATGCGACGCCTCTTCGTTACGCGATCAGCCGCTGCTCAACGTGCGCGGTTCAGTTTTAAACTATCGATTCGCGCTATCGATACACTACATGTCGCCGATAATACACTTAGCGAAGTTGCGCGCTGCCTCGATTCTAATAATATCATCGGGCGCTGCCAAATTTAGACCAGATTTACAATTTACTAACGAAACACAATTATTCGCATGCGGCGGCGAGAAAATTCAATTTTTTCCCACCCAGCCATCAAAAATAAATTTCTGGCATGAGATTTATCAAAATCAAAATCTCCGGGTGCAATATGCGAATTGTACGAATGTAATTTGCAGAGTAAATAAATAATCAGAGCGCATACAAAGCGCAGTCGTCCCCAAAACAAATAATTAACCAAAATTGCGAATTCAACGCGCTGTGTTTACATGTACTGCTATTACTCACACACGCGTTGTTTTTACTTCACTTTCCCCTGGAAATGTGGGAAATTCTACGGCCGCCAAGGGTGGCACACAACACTTTCGCACGTTGTACATGTCTTCAGATAAGCGCAATAAAAATGCGCGCTGCACATACGGGAATAAAAATACATAGTTTCATTCGTGGTCGATTACCGTGCGCCAACCTCACGCATATACTTACAAAACAAAAAATTATTCAGTTTAGTCCTCTGTGGTTGTTTTTTTCGCGGCGCAATTTCCATCATCATTGCGCGCCGGGCCCGCAAATAGAAACGCGTGGGTTTGTTTTTTCAAGAATTATTACCTCGGTCTCGGCGGCTGAAAACAAACAGCAGTTTGCTATCTGCCATCATAAATATTTACTCGCCATGTCCTATTTGAACCACCCTCGCATTCGGCGTGCGGAACTGACACAGATACAAGGATTCCATTTGCTTGCGCCGAACGAAACGAAATAAAGCGAAGCTGCTGTTGCTGCTGCTGGTACCTACACCTACTAAAAATGCCATTCTTGCGTCGTTCATAAAACATAATTAATACAGTCGCGCGATGGCATTCGCGTCCTTGGCGTATTCACGTTTAATCCACTCATTTATAACAATGAGCTAAGTTATTACGGAGTGAAACGCCGTCGAGACAACTCTATACAAACGTAATGTTCACACTTTACGTGCCGAAAATGTTTTATTCTACATTCGGGGACGGCGGCGGCGGCTGGGGTGATGGGCGTGTGTATGCCGGGGATTCATTTGATCTGGAATTTGATTATTTTTGTTTGCGTTACAGCGAAAAATACGCCAAATAAAAACAATGTAATTTCGAGTGTCTTTCTGCGTTGTGTAAATAAATTTCGCTCATATTTCATTTAAATTAAACTAAAACATCGCCCACTGATTCATTCGGTTCATTAATCTGTTCGCTACGTTTATAAAACAAACCGAAATGCATCGCTGGGGCGGCGAATGCATCCAATATTTTTATTGCATGATTGCAAATTGCTTTCGCACTAAAACGTTAAACTGGTTTGCGCCGAAACAACATTTCTCAATTTAGTATCCACGAGTGAAAAAAAAAACAACAAAATTGTTAAAATGACAAATTAGTTGCGTGTTGGAAAAATTGCGAAACAAATAAAAGCGCGCAATATGAAGTTTACGCCGGTTGAGATTCCGAGCAGTCTAATATGTTCCGCACAAAGGTGCAATAATACAGAAGGCGGCGTTGTTTAGCGATGCGCCGCCTCCGCTGTGTGCTCATCTCGCCGGCATTGTCCTCCTGCGCGTCGCCGGCGCGCAAATTTTTATTAGAATTACAAGCTTCGTGAATAATTTATCTCGGCGGGAATAAAGCTGTTTGTTTTGAGCGCCGCGGCATTCGGAATTTTTCCTGTTTGTCGCCGCCGCGACGCGCATAATCTTGGCAAATAAAATAACGTTGTTTATTTATGTGGTGTAAACATCTCTCCTCAAACCGAACAAATTTCAGGTGGTGCATTCAACCGCGCGACCAACCAGCTACGACGACGACGACCGGCGAAGATAAATAAAATGTATATTCTCCGGCGAGGATTTCTCTACTTGCTCCTGCTGCTAGGTAAGCAAACCGAGTTTATTTACATCGCGAGGGCAAGGTATAAGCGGTGTGTCACACGCGTGCGGCCGCAGTCACAGGCATAATATCCTAGTTTCTTGCAATTTCAACAAAAATTTATTCGCCGTGCTAGAACTACGCGCGCCGAGTAATCTAATACCCACATCTTTAGCGCGAGCGCATATTTCCGAGCGTTGCGCTAAACATTTAAGATTATATAAGATGTAATACACTTATACCTGTTTGCCAGCGCGCTGGCGTTTCGCCGTAAAATACGACGGAAACTCGAGCTTCTCTCCGCTCGCATATTTTCTTACCCACATCGTGCAGCAGTGAACAAAGCTCCTCGTGCTTGAAGGGGGAGCGAATGACTTGTAGATTGTTGCGCGCGACGTGCGCTTAAGAAATTTCGGCGAACTGTGCTCTGGAATGTCGCTAGTCGACAGTGAACACATCAAACAATACCTACGGAATCGTAAAAACAGAGGTATACGAAGGAGATGAACTCCTAGTTTACAACCAGCGGATTTTTTTCTTTATTTTTCTTCTAGGAAGCAAAAAATATTTTTTTTGTTTCGCTGAACAGGAAAATATTGCGATGAACAGCGTTAATCACCCGCGGGTGTTTTTTGTTGTTTTGTCGTTCTGGAATGGTTTATTGTTTAATTAAACTTCACCTTCTTCATATGAAATACCGGCCGGATTAAAAACTTGCTGCACACGCCGGTTATTGTTATTAATTATTTGTAGCGACACGCAACTTGTTAAAAAGCATTAGGGAAGGCATTAGAAGGACAAAAAGCCAGCGCGCCACAAGTTGGAAGCCGTATTAGGGCGAAAACCCTCAAAACGAGCGCGTGGCCCCCATTTCGTCCTTGCCGCCGACTCCCGGATGGCATACGTCCCGAATCGCGCAGAAAATTCGCGCCCGTCTCGCCAGCCGCGCCGAAGTAATTACTAACACCTGGGGCGACATGCACACCAGCTGCTTTTAATTAATAATCAATTCGAATAAATTTCGCAGAAATATTACGCGCGTATCTATGACACATTTACAATGCCACCGCAAACTTGCGTCCTACGCGGTTCTAATTGCAGCAGCGCCTGCGGGTTGTTTAGTCGTTGTTTTGTTTTGTTTTGCTGTGTTTTTAATTTTTGTTTTCTTTCGGTTTTGTTTCAAGCGCGATTGCGATAACACTTGGAAACTTCAATTCCGGGCATTGTTTGCGCACAAGCGCGGTGGAAAATAGGTCCTCGTCGCCGCTTTTGTGGCGGCTAAGTTGTTGTTCTTGTCGCGCGGACAAACGAAAAATACGAGACATTCTTCGTCGCGGGCGTTTCCGGGCCTCTTTGTTGCGGGCATGTCGAATGCTCACATGTTTGCACGCCACCCCCAGGCGTCGTGCGCTGCGGTTTTCACTTTATTGAAAACACACGTACGTGCATCGGGCGTGCACACGTAAAAACAGGATAAGATCAACAGCGCAACACATAGTCGAATTCCATCAGGTCGCGAAGTAGTCACCCGCCCCGCTGGGCTGTGGTGGTACTTATGTGTCATACAGTCAGGCGCGTTTTCTCTCCCACACATTGCAAATCAACAAATTGCCAGCACGATCCAAGCGAGTTGGGAGTAAATTCACAATCGAATGTGTCGAAAAATCGAAAACAATCGAAAAATAGAACAGCATAGACCGACCGATGGAACAACACTGTCCAACGTGTATGTCACGACTCGACTTCACTCAACAATGACACGTTCAGCGACTATTTAGACTCGTTCCGGGAGTGTTATTGGAAAAACACGAGAAACAAGCCAACAAACGAAGGAGCGAACAAATGTGTTACCATTTTATAATAGAAATAAAACGAGAAATAGAAACAGCCAGCCGAACCGGAACATATATTTCGACTTGCCGGCTTGCCTCTTCCAATAGGTTTTCCACGACACGCTTTTGCAACCCGAGATATAACCGAGTTATTTATATTATTATGTTGGAAATATTTACGTCGTAGCATTTCGCATTTATGTAGCAAATTTCTAGTCGAAGATTAATTGTTTGACATGATTCATTGATTCGCGCATTAATCCCGAGCGAAATTCGTGCATATTCACGACATTTGTGTCAATATATTTGTGGCACGAGGAGCCATTAGCAGATGTCATGCTAATCTCGTAGAAATCCGCCGTCGAACGCATTCAAACGCGTGTTTATGAATCGCCTGACACCGCACGGCGCTATTAATTACAGCGCGGCATCAAAGCCAAACGTTGCCGGCCGCGCAACTATTTGTCAACTATTCAATTAGCCCACAAACGTCGCGTATTTTTCTTTTTCGCGTAACAAGCTTTATTGGGTCGCCCTATGTTAATGATCGACTTGGATTAACTGAATTAACGAATTTGTAGCGCTATTTTAGACAATTTTGTAGAAAAACGCTTGTAAAAGCTTGAGTTTTCAATGTTTTTGCAAATTTCAAAGTTATAATGAAAATATTTGAGTTTTTTATTAATTAGTGAAAGAATTATTTAATTATAACAAACCGTTGATTTTTTATTGATTTTTAAAGGTCACGATATTTTTATGAACAGAAAACTGACATATTTTTAGTTTTTTGTTAATAACTTTGAAAGTTTTCTGATTTAAACAAATTTCTTTACGGTTATTGATAGTCTATTAAATTATCTGTCAATATATGAAATCAAATATAAAATCGTAGTTTTGGTTGATTTACTATGAATTTTTAAAGTTGAAAAAAAAAATTGCAAATGTAGATGAATATAATAACTAGTGTCGCTCGGGCCTATACAATTTAAATTGACATTCACGACAATACTTATGATACTTCTTTAATTTTGAATTATCATACACTTGCGTATTATTTTCTGCGTGTAATTTATGTGAAAACTCTGTAATGTGCCTTGCTCGCAACCCTGAATATCATAAAATATCGTGATACATAAAAGAAAGGAAAAATACAGTGCGAATGAAGGAACACGCTCGGGTCCGCGCCGAGGGACTTTATTGAATTGCCGAAATAAAACTGAAAACGTCGCGATCGCGCCCGCCGCATTACATAACGGTATAACGGATGAAACAAGATGAAAACGTTTGCGAAAGGCGGCGCGGACGCGGCGCGCAAGATCGCCGGGCGTGCGTATGAGTCGAATAAATGAAACGGCAGAAAGGCAGCAGCAGGAACACGAAGAAGAAAAAAATATATAACGAAACGAAACAACGTCGGCGGCGCACTCGGGAGATTGTTGAATGAGTTCGATTAGTCCCTGACTGAATGGGAAGAATCGGCGGGGCCCGCATGTCGAATTGTTTCAATTGCTTCAATTGCTCGTATTCATTGGCAAATTAGACGGAAACTTGAAGAGGAAATTGATTGTTTCCACTTTTGTGATCGGCGCACAATCGCATATTTGATTTGGCGTATTCTTCCTGTCCGCCGCCCGAAATCCCAGCGATTTTAATCTTAATTGCTTGATTATTAATGATATCCGGGATTGATTAATGGCGTCAATCAAATCACTCCGGCTCAATGGGCTGGTGACCAATACGCTCGAGTGGAAATAATTCGGAGTTAGAAACTTCATCACACAAGAAGCGAGTTATGAGCACGTAAAAGGGAAAATCAGTGCAAAAATCCTATGTTCGACACTTATACCGCAACTCAAAGCATTGGACAATTTTTTTCTTTTCGAAAATTCACGTTGTTACAATTGTAAACCCGTACTAATTGATTAACGATAGGATAATGCGCGCAAATCTTTATTGAAACGCCCGTTCGAATAAAGTCCGACCAAAGTTTGGCCCCCGGACGGGTGTGCCGGCGGGCGATTGTAGTTTCATTGTGATATAAAGTGCAATTTGAGATGTAGCTACAATGGGAAATGTGCAATTCCATTGTACTTACAATCCGAGCATGTTGTGTAACGACACAACGCTAATGGCGCACATTTACAGCTCGCATTTACTTAAGTGCTTTCAATTTTCGCTGCGAGCATGCGCGTTGTAATCCAGCGCGCGACTAATTCGTTTACTCGCGCCGGGAAATTCGATCGGCGTAATCATCCGAGAGTCTTTGTGGAAGAAAATCCGCGGTGCGTACTCGTACTATGAATGTACTCATCGGGGATTTTTGCGTCGCTGTGTAATAGCACTAACAATAGCCCACTACTCGCGTAACAATGAACAACAACACCTAATGACTTTTTTACTGGCTGTTTTCGAAGCACCGTACTCCATTACACGCGATATATCCAAAGGGCTTTCGTGAGTCGTTGTGTACTTCCGTTTGCTTGTTTATGCTCTTATGCGTTTTCCTTCCGCGGGCAGTTATGCGTTTCCTCCTCCACGCCCCAATATTCCGTTTCGCTTGTTAATGATGTCTTGATTTCTCGCAGGGCTGCTGTTTTCCCTCCCGCCCCATTATAACAACATGCTAACTCTATTAACGAATTGTTTGATGTCGAACCAAAAGCAGCTATTTCCATCCGAACGTTTTCATTTTGCCTTTTAGCCGCAGCGCTTAATTGGAAACATTGAGAGCATAATTGTTTGAAACTTTCATTAGTCAATAGTGTAATTAAATATTTAATTGGCGTGCTCGTGGCGATTTGATGGCGCAAGCAAGCGGCTGACACGACGTCAACGCCTCGGATGCTTATGATTGCATAAAAACGCAATGGCGATGAGAAATCGATGGCAATAAACAATGCTTGTGGGGCGTAATAATAATTTCCACGGATCCATCAAGCCGCGAACGTTAAAAAATTTATCACCGCGCCGAATGCGGGCCAAAATGCAATTAAGCTGATGGCCGAATTCAGTCGAATGCAGGACGAATTGTTTTCGATCGGAATTTATGCGCGGCCGGGACGTAATAATTCAATGTCAATGCGAGTTATTGAAAATTAAAAATTAAGAATCAATATAGTAATAATAAAAATCAAAAAAATTGACAGGATTGTGCTGTGTTAATGATCAACTTGTATTTAAATTTAAATTTTACGGCATTTTTGTAGAAAAACGCTTGTAAAAGCTGTAATTTTTAATATTTTTGCAAATTTCTTGCTTGGTATGAAAATATATGAGTTTTTCTCCCTAATAGTGAAAGAATTATTTAATTATGTCAAACCGTTAATTTTTTATTGATTTTTAAAAATCGCGATATTTTTATGAACAAAAAACTGAAACATTTTTAGTTTTTTATTAATAACTTTTCAAGTTTTTGGATTTAAAGAAATATCTTTACTGTTATTGATAGTCTATTAAATTATCTTTAAATATATAAAAGAAAATGTAAAATCGTAGCTTTGGTTGATTTATTATGAATTTTTAAATTTGAAAAACCATGCAGGACTAATTGTTTTCGATCAAAATTTATGTGCGTTTCCCTAAAAATTCAATATCAATGCGAGTTTTTAAAAATTAAAAATGAAAAATCAATGATACTAACAAAAATCTTCAACTTTTGCAGGCTCATGCTGTTTGGCGAACATCGATCGCCTGGAATTGGTAATGCCCAGGTATGCAGTGCGCGGCGGCGATGTCCTGCTCAAATGCGAGCACAGCGTCACCCCGGAGGAATTATACAAAGTCGAGTGGCAGAAGGCCGGCACAAAGATCTTCAATACATTAAGGACCGCAAGCCGCCGTACCGATACTTTCCAATGGACGGCGCCGAGCTGAACGTAAGTTCCATATCGCATAGGCGGCGTGCTTCCGGTGAAGTCCGCCAACTGCTCCTTTGCCGGGCGGCGTATTCAATGCGCGCTACCCCAATGCACCCGCTCGCCCATTCGGGGTACATGGGACACTGGACACAATGCACGGATGGCGCATTGTGCACAAAGTATACATTGTGTATACATCGTGTGCAAACATGCGCCAGCTGTGATTGTGATTCGGATAAGTTCAACTTTCTCGCGCGCAGCCAAACTTGCGCTTGCTTTAATTAACTTCGCCACCCGGGTTTTTGAGTTTTCATTAGGAAATTTAATCTCTTGCGAGCTCTTCGACTGAGGTTGCATTCGGGCTGGAATTTGATATCGAGTTTTTATATCTCCACGAATCTTTTGACGATTTGTACTTTTACTTTGGGTAACAGTTCTGAACCGCATCGAAACTGGCAAAAGAAGCAAGAAGAAAACTACAACGAAGCACAAAAAAACAACTCTGGCGATTTTATGATTTAAATAAAATTGTAATGCATGAATCAGTCACTCAGTGTACGTACGTATGCATAAAGACACATTTTTGCCGTTGCTTTTATTTCCATTTTAAGGGGGCGAGATTTGTGGAGATATAAAGTCGAATCGTGACCCCGTCTTTCGTTTTTTCTTTTCGTAAATGTGTCTATCTCGTTATTGACATGTGACTGAGCGAATTTCGAATTTAAAGCCAGGCGCACAAAACATGACGAAGTGGAACGGCGAGGGATACGAACACGCCAGGCGCTGGAGAACGGGGCACACAGCTTGTGAGACGCGTGTGAATAAGTTAAACGCCGCTTGGAACACAAAAAGCCGCCCGAAAATGCATGCAATCAATTTTCCGGGTCCTCCACCCACACACAAACATACACACATAGAGACAGAGAGAGAGTGTCATGCATGTTGACATAAAATCGCACTCAGGCGAAATGAAACACTATGTGGGTGGAGGCGCGCGTTTGTGTGTGACTAGGTGAGTTGGCCCTCCAGTTTATTACCTAACTCTTGATTAATAATTGATGCGCGCGTGAGTGGAGATATAGCAAAAATTCGATCTCGGATTCCGAATGTGTGTATATACATATATCGGTAGTGTGTTGATTTATTCACGCCGGCTGCACACGCCGGGCAATGATTATTATATTATCGGTCTCGGATTTCAGAAGGCAAACAGCAGCGCGAAGCAGCTCCATCTGACTCGGCTGACGTTCGCCGCCGGTGGGTCGTATTCGTGCGTCGTTTCGATGGAGACGCCGATTTTCAGCAAGGACTCCGAGAGTCAAACGCTCACGATAATTGGTAAATATATTAACATGTGTGCGAGCGTTCTGTTTGCATGAAACGCTCGGATATTCCTCGTGTTTGATTTGACGATTAACGTGCGCGTGATAAAAAAAAACACACGAAAAATGAAAAAAAAAAACAATTTAAGAACACACAAAGCTATTAGACTCAACTCAATTTGTTCCGTGGGTGGCATCGCGTATGCGGAAACCGATACCAGCAACTTCGCGCATCCAACACGTACGCGACATGCAAATATCTCGGAATGAATAAGTTGAAGTTGCAAATATCGATTTGTACTCTCGGAACTTTAGTGGAGCAAACAACGTTGATATATTCGGCGTACACACACACACATACATGAGTGTATTATATTCGCGACCGAACACACACGCCGCCCCCGAATGGGCAAAATCCTAGTAAATTCAAACGTCACAAGTGATCAGAAATTCCTTATCTGTTACCCATTGTGTATACACGGACGTTACGCGCAGATAGGAAGACGGTGGCCGCCCCCGCACGTGAATAAGTATTCCCACCGGCGGGGGGAGCAAGTTTCAAAGCATCCGAAATACCTCGCATCGCAAAAATCAATATCGTCCTGTGTGCGCTTTTTTATTGTTGAACATTAAATATATAGAACGGAAATTGACCTTCGTCGACACGATGATATATTCTTGAAAATGAATAGACACTTTATCGCACATCAGCAAAAAATCACCCGAAGAAGAAAAACCACCGCCGAAAAAAACTTAATAAATATTTGATGTTCCTTGAAAAGTGTGCGGTTTTTTCACGCCGAGGGAAAGACAACTGACTGCGCGCGTTTAATTAAAATATTTGCTATTAATTAAAAAAATAACGCGCTACATATAATTAAAGTTCCGTGGCGCGCAGCAGGCGACATCGTATTTTTTATTGATTTCATTAAAATGTGGCAGTAGGGACAGGGACGAGATTTTCACATGCCACTTTTCACATTTCGCTTCAGTCTCTTGTTTTTAAGAAGTTTTCCCAACGCGCGCGTATTATGCGCGCCGCGGTCATAAGCTAAGCAGAATAAACACGCCGTTGTTGTTTGATCGCATAAATTTGATTTAAAAAGTATTCCCGTGTTTATCTAATATTTGAATTGAAAATTTTTCGGGTTCGCTGCGACCGCCCGCAGAGCTCGTATTCACTCGTACCGGTGAATATTCGGGAACGTGCCGAAACTCCATTCGATGAATTTCCACGCGCGACCCGAGTTTCGGGTATTTACTAATGGCGGAACTTTCTTTCGGGGCGAAATCCTCCTTCTACCGAGCCGTTACTGAAACACACGCCGCACACCGAAAAATTGAAAAAGTGGGCAAACCGAAATTAAAAAGCGCACATCTTGTCGGATTCCGGTTGCAGATCGAAGATTAAACAAGCGGGAAGAGCTCGTCGGCGTCGTTGCTGTCGCTTAACGGCGCCGGCGAACGAGATTAGTCGTCGTCGGGCGGCAGCGGCGGCGGCGTCGCGCACGCCGGGATTAATTTGTTTTGAGACACTCAGTTAAAATTTGATTCTTCTCGAAATTGCAGAGCCGCAGGAGAAAGACCCGAGCATTACGTTCGACAAGAACACGTACCAAGTCGGGGACGTATTGCAGGCCAACTGTACGACGGCGCCCGCCCGCCCACCGCCGCACATTACGTGGCTAATCAATGGAGTGAAGGTATAATCGCGCCCGCAACTTATACGTGCACTTACCTAACATAATCCCGCCAGCGCCGAAAACGCCGAGAGGGGACAAACTCTCCCAGCTAATTCGCATCGATTTTCCGTAATAGTTTTCGCCCGCACCCGCCGCCGCCGCCGCCGGCGGATCTTGTTTGCAAATTTAAGTGCAGTATGCGTGTAGAGAAAAAAAAAACACGCGCGCCGATGGGGCGTGTGTGGAGTTGCAGGCGAAAACGATATTCTGATAGGCATTAATTCATTAACGCTTGTATCTGCCGCCGCCGGACGCCCGGCAATTTGTTCCGCCAACGCATCGATTTTCAATTAAGGTAATTCGCTTTGTTTGCGCCGGGCTTATTGTTTATCTAGGTGGACGAGTCGCTGACGCGCGCGTTCTCCAACGGAAGGATACACGGCCACGGCTATTATGAGCACCGGTCGCCGTCGATGAAACAATTGTCCATCGAGGTGTCGGAACTGCACGCCGGGGACAACGGCGAGCTATGGCTGACGTGCATGTCGACGATTCCCGGCTACATCGGACCCAAGGAGAAGTACGCCGACGAGCGTCGGCATTCGATCCGAAGTAAGTGCGCACATAAATTACCAATCAACCCAAGTAGCCCGTATTTATTCACCCACCCACCGAATCGAAAGAATCGCTGACTTTAATTAGTCAGTGTGGTGTGTCACAAACTCAAAACTCAGTGCATTCGATTCGTCGCGCGCACATAAACTGCAAAGACGTCCCTTTTGTTTCAGTCGAAGTTGTAATGACCGAGATACCAGCTGAGATAAAATCGTCCGACAACAATCTCGTCGAAAACATAACATCGAACCGACAACCGCAATTGCACCCGGATCATCGATCGCACTTCCTGCTTATTTCCGGCTGGCTGGTGTGCAACCTGCTCTTCAACGCGAAAACATAATCTCGAATAAGTTAGGCTTGCATTTTATACACACTATTACACCCACACAGCCACGTCGCAGTGACAACAATTTGTAGAAACTTGTAAGCCCCGCACACGCAGAGCAGGGGCATACACGAAAATCTATGAGCATAAAAATACACGCGCGAAACTTGCGCTTCGAATCAAACTTCGCGAAGCATGCAAATTTCCAAACGCAAAGTCTATGAAAATATTTGAAGAAAAAAAAAACACAGAAAAAAATTATGGAGATATATTCTTGTAAAACGTAAAGAATAACAGAGGAGATATTAAAATTCGCGTCGCGCGACCATCGCGCACCGAATTCGCCGCTGTGGTGAGCGAGAGATAAATGTTTTATATTTATTAACGACTTATTACTAAAAATGATTGTCTGAATTGACGTTCTTATGATAAAGATAACTGAGCATGATAACGCATTATAATATATTAATGTAAGAATACTAGTCGACGATGTTGTTAATGGTAATCATGGATAATTGAGTGTTTCCATAATAATTTCATGTAAATAACCAGCGAGATCTGCGAGCGGCAAGAAGGGGGAGAGAAAGAAGATCCCTGCGACTCGATACGATGTATTTAAATAAATCAGGTGTGAGTAAAACATGATTTAGTGCTTTCCACTTCAAAATTCAAAGAAAAAATAACGTAATATGCTCTCTGAGAAGCCGTAGAGGGCGCGGAAGACGATAGAACTAAGGCCAGATTATTTTCATAAGCTTCATAAGAAATCCTGAAGAGTGAAACATTGAAACTATATTTTTTGAAGCAATACATGAATAATTATGCATAAATTATCAAAAAACTTTTTGAAGTATGAAAAGTGGCACTTTAATCACGGACGACCAAAGCCGTGCTAAAGTACTAAAGTAATAGTATATCAAGTATCAAGTGGCTAAACGTGAGTTTTTGTCACGAGATTGATTAAGTGCCAGCGTAGCAAGCGTTTAATCAATCGAGTGTTTAACAACGTTTAGCCACATGATGCTTAAGCTATTTTTTCTACTTTCACTCTATTTCCACGTTGAGATTTTGGATTTAAACTTTTTTTATTAAATCTCGAAAATTCGTTTGCCCACTACTGAGAAATGCTCCACCCCGTGACTAAAGCCTGTGACTAAAGTACTTTAATCACCGCTTTGGCTATCAGTGTTTAAAATACCACTTTTCGTATCTAAAAACCGTGAAAAAACTAACACTTTAAAGGCAAAAGTAAAAAATAAATTATTAAATGTTTCAAAACAATGTAGTTTCGACATTTCACTCCAAATAATTATTTTTAAGGCCTTAGAAGTGTGGCTAAATAGATGCTTGTGTAAAATTGGCTTGCTATGATACACACTATACATAAATGTAACAACAGCCGCGTAGTAAAGCAACAATTGCCGCAGATAAACCAAGAAAAATACAAGTATAAACACTATGATACATAAATTTATGTAGCGCAGCAGGGTAAACCCACAATTTAAGAATCTATATATCGTAAAATGTAAAAAAGAATAAGTATAAAATGACGAGATTCTAATTTTTGACTCAATCTACTGTTTACTATATCTCTACGAAGAAATGAAGATGAAATTTTAACAATAATCTATTTATCACCACCTTCACGAAAATCAATAAGGCAATGCTTTCCATGCGATTGCGATACCGATATTGCGTATTAGTGTTGAAATCGTGAACGATCCCGAGAGCTTTCGCCGGCTTTCCGAAATCAGCAACATGATGAGAAGCAGCATAACCAAAATGAATTTAACGATGTCAATGTAATTATGAAAATCATGTCAATTAATACGCAAATAATTCCACGTTATTTCATTCTACGTTATTCGCCAGCTGGGTTTCCGCATTGCGTTGGTTTTCATGCGACCATAAACCCAAAGAACAAAAGGAAATTGATAACAATCACCGAACGATACAATCATTTTTCAACCGGCGCCGATCGGTTCTGAAGAGTCTCAATTTGAAAGCGAAGCCCTATATTTTCATAACAAAATCTTCGTAGGTATTATTTACAGGCGTGTGCGGCATGTAGGTAGGATATTTGGGAGGCGCTCGAATTTAGATTTGCACGAAATTGTCAACTCCCACAGCCACCCGGACGTAAAACGACCGCAATACAATCACAATGAGATTAACTTTTGACGATTTTGGTTTTGAGTCTTTTTATCCGGCTGAGTTTACGTTTTGCGTTTGGTCATCGATGGTCAAGATCTTATCACTGTTTGTACGTATTTATCTGTACCTAAACTAAAGTCAATATCATGTCCCTAGAACTCGTGTTTGCCCTCGAACAATCTTGAATTTTGCCACTTTGTACATACTCTTCGACGGGGACGCGAGCATCGCAGATCGAGAGAAACGGATCAAAAAATAAAACATAAAAAAAAACAAAGCGGAATGAGAGTCAATAGCGAATTAATGGATTTAGGTATAATTATATACATATAATCCAACATACATAAATAATGTTACATTAATTAATATACGCCTGCTAAATGGCCAAAAATGTCTTCCTTAAATAATAAATGTAGTGTTAATATTAATATATAAATATAATTAATTACGATGTTTACTATTGGGGGGCGGCGAGCGACAAAGGACGCGCGAGGCACGAGAGGCCGGAAGGTCGACAGCCGTTAAACAATACAAAAAAGAGAATGAGAATGATTTGAATTAATGAATCGGCGGAGACACAACGCACAATGTCGCATCGCAGCGCGCGGGCGAAAATTCTTCCGACGGCCGCCCAATATGACAAATCGAACGACAACACACGCGTTAACATACCACTGAAGAAAGAAAATTGTGCGCGTCATACGCCGGTGTTTTATCGATCATTAAACCTAGCGCTCGTTTTTCTAAAAACAAGAAACACGAGTTGGTGGTGGAGGCGCCAGCCCACGCAGCATGCGGTATTGTGCAAAAAGGGAGCAACTAATTGTCACTTCAAGCTCGTAATCCGTAATCACTCAATTATAAAGAAAGCTGACCTAAATAAGCCACTGCATGTGAGGCGGAAATGCGACGGGGTCAAAGCAGTTTTGCCACTTCAAATGTTATTCGGGACTGCATACTTAGAGAAAATTGTAAAATTAGTGAAAAACTATCAATATTCATATTTCAAATTGCCAAAATATGTATTTCCGTGGACTTCCAATAGATAGAATAGCATAAATTTTAACGATTTAAAAGAAAATGCAAACAAGGAACGAGGGAGATTGCCATTTTATCGATTTGCAAAACCAAAAGTTATCCATTAATCAGGCGAACTCAACACGTTTTTTATTATTGACACAGTTCATCGCGCAGTGTGTGCACATCGAGTGTGTTATAAATATGCAACAGCATATGCATGACAAGTGTCAGTTCGGGCAACTCCGAAACAATTTCGAAAATCAGTCATGTGTCGCGCTGGTGCAGCGCCCGCCGCGTGTCCGATAAGTTGGACGCGTTCGCCGGAACGCCGGTGACATGTTACAAACTTTCGATGTGGTGCCGGGCGTTCGGTTTACAAAAGCAAAAGTTGCGCCCGCGCTGCCACATAATTGACTTTGCGCATCAAAATATTGTGCGCGCCCGGTCATATCTCCATCAACTGCACGATTTACACCGCCGGAAAATACAATACGCACTCGACACTCACCGCACAATTTGTTTCGCTGATGATGATCACTATTTATCTTTTATGTTGAAAAAATATCGCGCGTTTGGTTTGGAACGTGGAGGAAAACGAAACTAAGTATCTAAGCTCGTAGCATTGACAATAACTTGCTTTAAATGTTACATTTAAATGTAAACAAAACAAAAAACAAAGAAGATATTAACACAAGCGTTCATCGAATCAAAGAATCAATGAAAATCGACCTCAGCAACCCGCTAAAATTCACTAAAACCATCTGAGTACGTTGCGCATGCGTAGAACAAATTAGAAGGCGTACCAACTGCGCGTACCTAGCAAAACACAACAATCCGGAAGTTAACTAAACGCGAATTAAGTGAAACTTCGAAACCTGAGGCGGGTTCATAAGCGTTTCAAGGACTTCAACCAAACTATACCAACTAATTGTTCCGTACGCCTATCAAAATAATAATTTCGTTTAATGTACAACTTATCGATCAGCATGTAGATGTCAAATTTGTATGTTAATCGTACTATAAACCAAGAAGTTAATTCTTTCGTCGATTTCGTTCCAATTCAAGTTTTCTACATGTACCTACGAACATAAAACTAAATTCGAATCGATTTGTTGCGGTCAATTTTCATAGTTTAACGCAATGTTTTCCCAAATGTAAATATGATGAAAATTATGCAATTATTGTTTCGAAATGAAGATTTAATGTATTAATGAACCGATCGCGGTTCGCATTCACGGCTAATCGAACCTACTGAAAGTGTAATTGAAGCGATAATTATTACGAATACAATTTTGATTGGACTCTGTTGCATTGCAGTGCAACAGCGTGCATATTGTATGACTTATTACTTATTAAAGATGTAAATGATGTACATTATACGTTTTTAATTATAATATATGTATGACTTCTATGCGTTTTCATTCAGAGTGTGTTTATTGTCTCAAATTTGAATTAAAGGTGATGCTGGCGCCGCCGCCGCCGGAGGAAAATGGATATTATACGGTAAGTAGAAGAATATTTTCTTATTAAAAGTTTCGGGGAAGTTCGCGCATTCAAGCAGGAGTTATAAATTTATCTGGACAGGATAATGCGGTGGGCGTGTCGGGGTAACTCGAATGGGTGGAGCTCAGATTAGATAAAGTAGTTTATCTAGGATGCAATTTTATTTGCAACGGTTTTTATGTGGTTTTTAGGTTGGCCTATGCTTTGACTTGCTGGATAAGTACCAAACGCTAATGTATTGCCACAGCGGGGCTATTCTATGACTAAAAATGTTTATTTTTCTATTTCTGCCTTTAAATCGCCTGTTTTTTATGGTTTTGAAATACAAAAAGTGATACTTTAAACACGGATGACACAGGCCGTGACTAAAGTACTTTAGTACTTTTTAACGCTCGCTAGGCACGTTCTTAAACAATTTCCTACCAAAAACTCAAGAAAAAGCGATATTGAACTATTTTAAGTTGTCCTATGCTTTGACTTGCTGTATAAGTACCGAACGCGGTTCTATTGCAAAAGTGACACTATACTATGACTAAAAATGTTAATTTTTCTACTTCCACCTTTAAAGCGCTGTTTTTCCACGGTTTTTAGACACCAAAAGCAATATTTTAAAAATGAGTTGTAAATGTCGTGACTAAAGTACTTTAGTCACAGGATAAAGCTTGTAAACGCTCCTAAGCTCAATCTCAATCTATCCCATGACTAAAACTCCCGTTTGGCCCACTTGATACTTAATAAACTATTATCTAGCATAAAAAACTGTTTTTATATTTTTTACGATGGCCTATGCTTTGACTTGCTGTATAAGTACCGAACATGCTTCTATTGCAATAGTAACACTATACAACGACTAAAATATGTATTCCTACCCGAATTTTGATCCTTTTGACATAAAATTGTGCAATAACGATTTGCGATCCGCTCAGATGCCCCGCTTTTCACCCCCATAGTGGTCTATCCTGGCGTTTTGAAGCGGAAACTTTCAGCATGCAGGCTTACACACACATGCGCCGAAGAAAGTTTCGGTTACCGAAGGCAAGCGGGTGAAAAGGCAAGCGACCGCTTGCACCTCGTGCACACGTAGCCGCCGCTGCCGCCGCCGTCATCTTCCCGCCAACCTCACGCGCGGCGCGAGGAGGAGGAGGCGCAGGAATAGTGGTCGCGACGGCGAAACGAATTGCCGTGGTGGAGAGGCGGCGGCGGCGGCGGACGAATTAGGCGGGGTGCGAGACGAGGAGGAGCGCGATGCCGGCGCCGCACTGCTCGAGTTAAAGAGTAAGAAGTAAGAAGTTGGAGTTTCGGACCCGCTGAATAAAACTTCTTTAATTAAATTTTAGTAAAACCGAGCGAGCGAGCGACGCAATGCAAGTTGGTTGCGTAGAGCAAAAGCAGGGTGACGCTTGCGATGGAAGGAGAAGAACCGCTCGCTTCTCGCACTGCTTCCCGCCGCCGCCCCCATGCTATCGCCGAAGACAATACGTTCAAGGCTAACATTTTTAATAATTCAAGCTCGGCGAACTCTCCCTTTTTTGTAATTGTCCCAGAAAAATGTTTTCATAAAAATCTCATAAAATTAAAAAATCGCGTCGCGTGTTTGCGCCGGAAAACTTTTCGGTATCATCCGGTGGTCGCCGGCGGCGTGTTGTTCATTTGATCCGCGCAATAATCGTTGCGAGTGAAATTTTTCAAGTGGTAATTAAAAGCCAAACTCGTCGTCGTGTTTGTCTCGCTGGCAATATCATCTTTAATCTTTATTGCTAAAAAAGCAATATCACCTCAAGCCGCAACTCTCGTCTTACAAACTTAAAGTCTCTTCAAGTTGAAGATTTGCGGAGTTAGCGACACGCCGCATGAATGTAGTTGGGATTCTTCGTTATGACTACCAACAACCACCTCTTGACTAACCAGAACAAAGGTTTCTTTCCGTTATGGCGAAAGTTGTGTCTTATTACATTAAGCTTTGGAATATATTTTCTTTTCACTTGAGATTTTTTCCACAATCAAGCGAATTGTTAAACTATGCGCATAAATATCTACATGTACTTAATCTACGGCCCTTCGGTTCCAACTTTTCAACAACAGAGACTTGTGGAGTTGATGACACGGCAGGAAGCGCTTGACAACGCCATAACAAAGCGTTTTTGTCCTCGGCGCGCAAAGTTTTTGTGATACGATATACCATTATATCCGAGCGTAGCGATTTCAATGTACACTGGGATTGTCAAGCCCGCGCTGCGTTCGCATGTAATGTGTTGTAAATCTTAAACTAACGCAACAAGTTAGCGAGAGCGACAAAGTAACCGGCCGTTTGTGTGCTGATGCCGCAGGTTTTTGGCATTTGCATTGCGCCGCCGTTGCGGGTTGAATTTGCGTTCGCTGTCGCTTTAAGCGACGCCTATTTATCTTTAAACGCTTCGGCTTTTGTGTCACCGCCGCGCGCTATTTAATTTATTAATAAATTGCTCGTTGCTGCTTAATTTGTGTTATTTCGGGGCGCGCGAAAGCCAAAAGGCATTCGTAATGCGCGCGGCTTTCATTCATTCACCGCCCCGTTCGTAATTAAAAATATTGCGGAACGTGAAACAGTAACGACATGAATTATACACGATGCTGGCATCGTTGGAAAAATATTTTATTTCAAAATATTAGCACAAAGCAGCTCGCTCTCTTTTTATATCTTGTTTTAATGTGCGCGCGCGAAAAAGGCTTTGAATATTTCCGAAAGAAAATGTTAGTTCGGCCGAACGAATGACAGCCATAAAATTCCGTATTAAAATAAATGTCCGCCGATACTTGTGAGCTTATAAACATTAAGAAGATTAGTTGCCGATGCAATGTACTCGAGTGTGTCTTGTTGGTGGGTTGATTTCTTATGCCGCATCAATAACATTAACATTTCTCGATTTGTTTCACGGTCGACCCTTGATTTCAGCCGCACAGTGCGGGCTATTCGTGGCCCCCCGTTCGTAATCATTCTTGTTGAAGGGTAACATTTTTTCTTGTTTGCAGCGCGCGAGCGCGCATTGTTTTGTGTTCTTTATTTCCGGCGAATATCGGAACCCGGTGGTCTATTGAAAAGTGCGCTCATCATCAAGCGCCGGCCGCGCCACACTCTCGCATAATTACTCTCTCGGCTTGGTTTGTTTCTCGTTCCGATAATGCGTTGTTTATTTCGGACGCCAACGCGAACAAGGGCGGATTCAATTACTTCGCCCACGCGCATTGAAAAGCATTTATTACGCGATGTATAATGCAGATTTTTGCTTTGGGAAAAAACTCTTTTACGGAGAAAAAACTTGTTTAAAGAACAGATTAACTAATTTACATCGTAAATTTACTCTAAAACAAACATTTAATAGTATATTAGGTATCAAGTGGCTAAAATTGAGTTTTAGTCACGAGGTGTTTAATCAATCGAGTGTTTAACAAGGTTTAGCCACGAGATTTTATTTGATTGCCACTTTTAAGTATGTTTAGATATTGTGCTACTCCGTAGGCAAACGCACAGACGCAAGCTCCACCCCTGTGACTAAAACCTGTGGCTAAAGTATTTTACTCACGGCCTTGGACGTCAGTGTTTAACTTACCACTTTTTTTCGCCCCAAAACTGTATAAAAAGTAAAAAAAAACTAATTTACCTCGTAAATTTACTCGAAAACAAACATTTAATAGAATATTAAGAATCAAGTGGCTATAATTGAGTTTTAGTAACGAGGTGTTTAATCAAACGAGTGTTTAACAACGTTTAACAATGTGATACTGACGCTATTTTATCTACTTTCATTATATTTCCACTTTTTAGGTTTTTTTATATTTTGTGCTGCTCCGTAGGCAAATGCGCAGGCGCAAGCTCCACCCCGTGACTAAAACCCGTGACTAAAGTATTTTACTCACGGTTTTAGCCGTCCGTGTATAAATTACCACTTTTTTCGTTTCAAAACTGTGTAAAAAGTTAAAAAAAAAAAACTAATTTTCCACGCAAATTTACTCAAAAACAAACATTTAAAGATAATAATACCTTACAACCCTATAAAAATACCAGCTACCTTTATTACCGTGACAATTTTAGTTAAATGTTTACTCAACATACAATTACAACCGTGATAAAAAGCGAAAAATTGAAGTTTTCACCGTTTTCACTCAACATTTAACCTGCGCACCGTGCGGAGTTTGAATAGCGATTGGAATATGCCACAACTATGACGTGAATTGAGTGCATGAAACACGAGCACAGAGGTCGAGTGCCCAAGCGTCGTTGTGAAGTTTAAAAACAAAATCGATAGTAATGGGTATAATGTTGGCTAATGGATCAACAAGTAACCGGACGTGCTCACAAGCTATGCAGTATGCATTTCGTCCGTGCATAACACATCTCTGATAAATCGTACGCCCGCAATGGAACACGCTCGACAGAAGTATTAAACAAATGTTACACAAACAAACACGCGATCGGTACGTTTTATATGAACGCATCGCATTTAGCGAACAAACAAATTCCACACACAAATAGTTCGGTAAATAAGTTTACACACACACAATAGTTGTAAATGATAAAATCATATTGACGCCAATATCATCTTTATTGCGTGTTTCGTGAGAAAAAATATGATGACGTGGCGCGTTTGGCAATCAGCAGATTTCTATCGGAGTGAAAGCAGTTCGAACCACCACCAGTAGTAGCTACTGGTCACACCTTTATCAGCCACCAGCGAGGCAGTCCATGTAATTACTTCTCTTGTCTAAATTACAATCGGTAAGAACTACATGCTTACTTATCTGGCTTTTATCGCGGCCGCACGTATTGCTCTAAAGCGCCGGCAAATGGGAAATGGAAAATGGAAATGATAACATCCTCGCAAATGAAGTTCGGAGCCGCGCAAAACCGCAAACTGTCGTAATGCCATTTTTGCCGTATTTACTTCGCTTATTTGGCGCACACCTTGACCCAGAAGAGCGTAATAGAAATATCCGAAGAAAGGACGTTTCTGAATAGTTGTAAAGAATTCTATCTTGCATTTGAACTTTGTACTCTTTTTAAATGGAATGTAATATAACTGCAGAGTGCACGTATCGAGATCAAAATATGCTTCGACGACGTATTTCGATGGCGTTTTACTCGGAAACCAAAACGATAGAAACGAACGGATTGAAAATTATTAATCTACGGGAAATTCTCTATAAGATAAGCTTGTTAAATTTAATTTAATTAAATCTAAGAGATGAGAAAATAATTAATAACGAAAAATTGACAAAAATGGGCATCGCATTTTTTTGAGTATTTTCGATAGCCAATATCTTTTAAACTAAAAGTGATAGCGGTCAACGGATTGAAAATTATGAAAGATTGGAAAATTCTCTATTAGATAAGATATTAACATAATTTAATACCGAGAGGTAAAACATTTAAAAATGCGATTAAAAGTGCTCAAAATCAATTTTAGTTGCGAAGATTACGTAAACTAAAAGCAATAGAAACGAACGCATTGAAAATTCTTAATCTACGGCACAGTACCTGGTTATGATCTGCAAAACACTGCGAAAATTGGACATCGGTACTTCTTCTCCTCGAATGTCAAGGAAGAAAAGTTATTCACGCACACGCATTGTCGGAAAACAATCGGAAAACGATAATATGTAATTCGGGTTTGTATTCACAAAATACCATACTCTTATTAATTTTAAATTCAATACCCGACCGATCTAATAAAACGCGGCGTTAATACTGAGTTTAACTGCACAAGAAACGCGTTGAGTTCGGTGAGGAATGCACGCGAATCGAGATAAGAGACGATAAGAGATAAGCAATACCGGTTCGACTTGTTGACGGCGCGACTGCAGCACTGGCACACGACAATACCGAGCGTTCATATTGCTGGTATTGAAAAGAATAAAATAAATAAATAAATAAAGAAAGAAATGAATCAAGCAAGCGCGTTTAAGTAATCAAATTTGTTTCGCGCTTTGCTTTTTAATTTGTTTTGTATCTTACACATAACCTATTATTATTTGCTTAGGTGCATTGCACGTACTCGCATCTCCTGTCCGTGTACATTGAAGAGTTCTGATATTACACCCTAGAACGTTAAATAACATTTCATTATGCGGTAAGTACTTGATGCCACTATACAGTATTATTACATACGTATTACATACGATTGCCGTTTTTTTTTCTTCAAGTAAGTACATGCCATGGAATCCTTACAGCGCCCTGGCGCGAAACGTGTTGTATGCCGACGACCTTACAGGTATCATTGTGGTTAGAACAACGCTTGAGTAGTGCCATAGTTCCCTTAAGGGCCTCACCCTTCCTCGCTATAAGATAATAAGATAAGAAACGATGTATTGCTTTCAAATGTCATTTTTTACTTCCACCTTTATACCGTCAAATTTTTCACGGTTTTTGAGACTAAAATTGGTGCTTTAGACATGTATGGCCAAGACCGTGACTAAAGTGCTTTAGTCATGGACTGAGGCTTGCGCCTGCGTGTTTGCCTTCGGTGCAGCCCAAGACCATAAAAATAACGTAAACATCACATGGCTAAACGTTGTTAAACACTCGATTGATTAAACGCCTCGTGACTAAAACCCCAGTTTAGCCACATGATACTTAATATACTATTTAGATCTCGTGTCCTAACAAATTCTAAAGAAACATATTAAAAATCATCACTCCTCGAATTCAGCACCTCAATGTCCACAGGCAACAATTCTACTGCCACCTCTGATGAGAACACCTCATCCGAACTCAATGATACCACCTTATCCGAACCCGAGGATGTCCTCGAGAGGGAACCAACAACGCCTATAACACCAAGAACCATGAGGGGATCCAGCACCCCTGAATGTATTCTTCCCTTGAGTCTCCGCGATAGTTTAGCATGGCTCAATACGCCGGACACCTCCAGCTCAGACTCATTCGGGGATGTATCGGGTACAACCGCATCCTCAAACTCTACTGAGCCGATACCATCGTCACCAATTGCCACATTCGTTCCTTTATTCATTCCTTCTATTCCTACGGTCCCTGGGCCGAAGCCAGTTCTGACCAAGGTGATGGCTTCCATTCCACTACCACCTCGGATGTTGAAGAAGAAGAAGAAGATACCAATCGATCTTGCCCCAACCACCAGGATGATCAGTTTGGCACCGAGGGAGAAGATCTGGGATGCTATGCCGAAGGAGATAAATCTCACTTTGGCGCCGCAGAAGTTTGATAGCGAGCCATCGCCGAAGATCCGCGTGCCTACCGATATGATGGACTTCTATATGCAACAGTTGCGGGACTTGGGCACCACGGATATCATTCCAATAACTAGACCTCGTCCGCCTCCCCCTCCACCACCTCCTTTTCCCAGTACTTATTATAATAGTGATGGAGAATTGGTCAAGGACGAGAAGCAGGTGATTCCTAAGCGTTACTATGATTCTTCAACTGATGAGGATGAAGCTGTTGATTGCAAACGTCCAAAAGTCGAATAATTTTAGAAAGAAAAAAAAAGAAAAAGATTTTGGCGATAATTGTGTAGAAATCAATAGAATGGCACTCTTTCTCATTTATAATTTGATATTTTCTCGAGAAGATAGTATCCGTTTTCTTTGGTGCTTAGCGCGGCACAAGTTTTCAATTTGTCTACCATTTTTCATCAACTCTCAGCGCCGAGCGACGCCAACCCCGACAGGATGGCAGCGCGCGTTGTCCTCGTAGCAATTCATAGCATGAGCATGAATAATGATGGCGTTCGCGCGCGCGCCAGAGCGAAATTCTCGTTATCTCGAGATCCTATTCGGCGCTTCGCTTCGCGCGGCCGGATAGATGATTACGCCCGGTCGGGGCCGGCCACTGCATCAAACTCCAACTTTGTCAAGTGGATACGCGCACAACAGGCGCGAATAACTGAGGAATTAATCTCTCGACGTGACTTTTTTCCCCTGCACATTTAAATACGGCGGTGGTGGTGGCGTAACAACCAACAAAGTCGCTTCGGTAATACGCACAGGTTAATCCAGCGTTGCCTCTGTTCGCCATTCACGTGCGCACCCTCCGGATTTAAACCGACTTTGCATCCAGGTCACAGGCGAGCGATTCGGACGGCGAAAGTCTTCTTTGCGGGGAGAGACAATTGCTAAACAAACACGCGACGCGCGTGCCGCATAATTGGAGGCGAAAGTATACACGCGTGTCTAACAGCTTCTTGTTTGGAGCGACTTCCGGCTTGCTGGGGAGAGAGGAATGATCAACTACCGGAAACTTTCCTCCTGTGCCATATAATAATTAAAAGTTACTTACCTATGTATACGCAAATATCAATTAATTAAAATTTCAAACTAATTGAATTCTAATTAAGGTGTATAAATTAATTGCAATAAATTATTATTTGTGAGTGTGTGAATTGTAACTTTATATGTTTGCCGGGAACTTTTTTTGCTTTTTGGTGGGTTTATCAGAGCAGAGCCGCAAAAAGATGGAAAATAAAATATCTAGTGCGAATGCCAGTTAGATAACCGGAAAATAACTTAGGAAACTTCGAAAAATGAACGGAGGAAGCGGCGCCGTACGCGAAGGGCGTCCTAACGTCAGCCCAAATGAATATACCGGAAGTCTCTACAAAATGTTTGCGAAAACGCATCGAAAATCATTGTTTTGACGTGCCAATTAAAATGCAAATCACACAAATCATTATAAAATGAAATATGTATTTCACTCAGGTGAGTTTAAATTATTATTAAATTAATATTTTTATATCAATATAATATAATATCTGTATAAATGTAGAAATAAATTTTGTAGGTTTGGTAGAATGTGTGTTTTGTTGCGGAACACTCAGTGGAAGGGCGAAAAACAAACGGAAACAAACCAGGACGGTGAACAGAGCTCAAATGAAGCAAACCATCGCGCTAAAAGGTAACAAAACGGAAGAAAGCGGCCGAAAAAAAAGCACAAACGGAACCGGCGCGCGAATAAAACGAAGAGCCGCGCGGCGCGGCGTCGAGGATCCGAACGTATGTGCGACATAATTCTAGTTTCGCCCTTTGTGCGCCCTCCTCGACGCTCGGAATCTCCTTTTATTCAATCCTACGCCCTCGTCTTGAACCCGCCACGCGCGACCGAAAAATATCATTGTTTGTCAGCACCTGAGCACGCCGGAGTTGATAAATAACGCCAGCGCGCGATTTAATTAGACGGAGTATCGAGCACATCAAATCGGCAGACTTTACTTTTGCATTAGGGAAGGTAATCCCGCCGCCGCCGCCGCGGCTGTCGGAAAAATGCTATTGGAATTTCAGTTCCTGCGGATCGAAGCATGCGGGGTTGATGCAAACGGAAACTTTCTAATGGTGTTTTCTTTGTGCGCTTGTACTCACTTATCCCAATCTTTAACACCGGCTTTGCCAGCGCGGAGAGTTGTTTGTACAACAAGAGGAGTTGTTTTTGCCTAAGAAAACAGGCTTTTGTTGAGATTTTTGTTTCAACTCCCAAGGAAAAATCGCAGTTCAACAAAATAACAAAAAAACAAAAAACAAAAATAACAAAAAATTCAGTACCCACTCTTTTGGACTTACAATAAAGTCATATTTTTATAATTATTTATTCATTTAAAAATGAGCCAATGTTGGAGTTGCGGTATAAGCACCGAACGCGTTCATTCTGCGTGAATGCAACATTTCATGTTTGCACATTTACATTTCCATTCGGCATCTTTATGATTTGATTAAAAAACGTAATAAACAGCCAGTTACAAGTTTGTAATTAAAATGTTTTTCCGCGCAGCGCAGCTCGTTGAGCTTGTCAGGGCTCTAATTATACAACGCGCCGCCAACATAACATTAAAATGTTTCGAAAAATTTAAATCATAATGTGCTGATAATGGAAGCCGCCACATTTATCCAAGTAACAATAACGCGTCCTTTATAAATAATTAATGAGCAAATATATACGTCTGCGGAGGATCCAGCGATTCGCCGCCACCGGCAACGCACACACCACACAAAAAGCGAAAACATTCTCGACTTCATCCTCCTTCGGCGGAAGCTGGTCGCCGAAACAGGCGCATTGTACATGAATATACATACGAACATAAATATTCACGACAAACAAACTTAAGTACCTGGAAGATATTTTCCATTTATTCGCGCCAGTCGCCTTTCATCACCACCAGCGTTGTTAATTAATTAACTAACTTCGCGGATAAGCACGTATTGTATAAAAAAAAACAACAAGACTCACATACGTTTGAAGTTACAATTTCAGTTGAATATTGTTTGTTTCTTGTGATTTTGCTGGATAAGCTACTTATTTTTTATTTGTTTTTAAAGCGCATTAACTGTTATTAGTCCAGCTAATTTTATACGCAGCGTAAAAACGTAATGCTTGAGTTGGCGTATAAGTACCGAACGCAACACGTTGCCATTTACTACTAAGCGTGTGTGTGTGTATGGTTGCGTGTCCGCGTCAAATCTCTTCTTGATTTTTTTACTTTTGTTATTTTTTCTCTGCCTAATTCCCTGTTAACGTTATTATCTATGTTTCAACGCATACAGTAGCTCACTAGCCGGCATTAAAAATTAAACCGTTAAGCACTAGCCATTTGGATTAAAATTATAAATATATCGCAAAAAGTTTGGCGCGTACAGAGAAAAAAACACAAGCGATGCGCTCGCCGTGAGCCGAAAAATTACGACGGCTGGTATCGCGGTGCAAACGGGAGCGGCCCGAATTTATAATGACTTTATTTTATATAACCGCGCCGAGTAATACATAACTGCATGTGGGGCAATTTTTCTAAAGAGGGTCGAAAGCGGCGCGCGTTTCATTTAAATGCAAATTTATGTCAAATAAAATTACTTTCGAGTTACTCTTTTGACGCTGTCGACTTAACTCCCCCGATATCGCATTGTGTGATTTCGTAATCGTGTTGCGCGAAATATGCAAATTCAGTTTGGGAAAAAATTACAATTACAATTAGGTGCGCGCCTAACTAGGTTAATTAGAACACATCTAATTTACGATTTGAATTTTAAATCGACCACGCGCGCGCGCGCGTTATTTAATTATTTAAATATTTTTGTTTCTAATTGCATCCAGCACTTAGTAGCTCACCATCTCCGCCAGCGCTTGTTATCACAGACGATGGAAGAAGACTCTTGATCTTACGCCGGGTGATTCCTTTTAGTTTTCATAAGGAACAAATTTAATTACCAGCTAAGTAAAGCTTGTCTGTAATGCATTTTATAGTATCTTAACATGCACTACCTGAAATTCCATCAAAAACATTTGCTTATCTTGTGAGAATTTTTATGCACTCTTTGTTTAAGCAGCGTGCATCTCAAGATAAATGTGCTAATATCTTGAGTACCTAGTGCATACATCCCGCCATCGACTTTCGGATGGATTTTATGCCTCAGAAGGCGAGTTTTTCGTCCTTTTGGTTCGTAATAAAAATGTACCTATTTCTATATTATAGGCAACTGAAACAAGTTTAAAAAGTAACAAATACGGCACATAATCTCTTATATTTTATAGTTTTTAGCTTCCTGCGCACCGTAGCTGGTCACTACTGAGGGTTCAAATATTATTTCGGCGATAACTTGTGTTTAAACTTCATTATACACCCGAATACACTGGAATTGCGCGGTTTTTATGTAATAATTTAAGTTTGGGGGAATTTTACAGTTGTCCGCGCGCATATTTTGCGCAATTTTTGACTGAATTCGCTGGCGTCCTGTATAGTGCGCCGATACCTGGAAGCGAGAAACTGCTTCGCCTTTTGGTCGTTCATAAATCGTTGGTTAAAGCAAGCCTTTCACTGTACACGTGCCCAAACTTAGTAAATTTTCTTTTAAATTACTACCACGTGAACGATATTTATGGCGTCGATTAACCAACGGGTAGTAAGTACCGACCAACAACGAAAAGAAGAAAGATATATTACGTAAATTACTTTTCTATTAAAACGTCACATTTAATTATTTCAACTCAATAACTCCGGGTTCCGGCCGGGAATTTAGTCAAAACTTTTCGTACTCCTGGCTCGAAGCACCTATATTTAATATTTCAATTAATAACTAATAACTTTCCAAGAATTCGTCACGAGCACACTTCGGCGAGACTTTCGAGAAATTTCAAAATGGAATTACCAAGATATACGTGGATATTTTTTCGGTTAATTTGTTAATGGATCGTGCTACAGGCGCAGCCAGCGCATGATAATGTAATAAAATGTGAGTGAGAGTGTATTAAATGATAAACACACTTTGCTAATTCTGTTTGCTCGTGCGTGGGTGTAAATAGAAGCGCGCGCGCGCGGTGGTGGCGACGCAAATGAAGTAAATACGCGCGTGTGTGCACTCTGTCACCACCTGAGGACAAGTAAGTAATAACGCCTGCATAAACACGAAAATGTATTCTATTCCGGCGCAATCAAATTACGCGCCGCGCATTTGTCCTCGCAAACATTCGGAATGTAATAAGTGCGCGAAGGAAATCAATTTTTCATTTGAGAGCATGACATGTGTGGAGGGTACGTACACGTTGCACCTTGCCGCTGGCAACTTCCGCTGGC